AAATTGGATTTCTTTCCCGTTTTAAGGAAAAACTAATTGAATTTAGCTGAAGGCTGTGTATATTTGCACGAGCTGGTGAAGGCTATGCTAAGGCACAGTGATCATCCTGGGACCCTGTGGCTTAGCCTTTAGCAGGACTGGGTCAGAGTGCAACATAGAATGAGACACCCAGACTCAGGCTAAATAAGTGCCTTGTGGCATGAGGTTTATAGAGGGCTCACTGTGGAGAAGATGGCTAGACCCCAATGACTGCTCCTTGAGTCAGTACTACACGCAAGCTGTTACTACGGCTGGCAAAAGGATTGTCTTAGTAGAATGTTGGTAAAGCTTTGGCAGAACGGCTACTGAAGACAATGGCCATCACATTACTCAAGTCCTTGATGTCAGCAGTCCAAGTAAGCTTAAGGCAAAAACTGTGACCGCTTATTCTCTGAATCCCCCCATAGCCTAGCATACCAGCACCTGACACAGTACATTTTTAAAACATGTTTGCTGAATATATAGAATAATAATATAAAGGTATGCAGGACAAAGTTCTTCTAAACTGAAGAGCCAAAATTCTCTATATCGTCTTTCTGTCTTGTCATCAAGAAACTTCATCTATATTAATACTCGATTCCTCTAAATTACTTAATTCATAGTGAATACAGCACGGTCACATTTATGTAAAATTATATATGAACATATAATACATATATAATAATCAATCTCTAGATAGAGGAATTCAGGTGACTGCTACTTTCTTTTCTATATTACTTTTACACAAACAATAAACCTATTTTCAGCAAAGAAAATCTCTGGTTCAATCCTTATACAATTATCTTTCCTTTAACCCACATGATTTCTGGTCTTAGTCCAGTTTTAACTCTCCTGTGTATATTTATATTTGTATTTTAATTTAAGTCAAAGCAACACTTTTTTGGAAATAAAAGGCGAGAATAAATTATAAATATAAGTCTCATGCATATTTTTAAAATTTAGTACTTCAGCACTGTTATTTCCCATTAAAACCTAAATAAAATAATTAGTACATGTGGAAATAGAAGTCCACAACAAGTTAAGCTCCTCAAGGATACAGACTACTGTATTCTATATCGCTAAAGGCTTAACACATTAAGCAAGTGCCTGACCAGATCTCCCTCTAGAGCTCTGAGGTTGCCAATATCCCAAAGGAGGTGAAAGTTTTCTGCTTTCAGCCTTGAACCAGGAGGTGCTGACCGTCTTTCTTCTCTTCATCCAAATCTAACACACAGGTAGTGGCATTTCATGCCTGGACAATATGACTCTGGAATATTTGGTGATTGATTATATGAGATTTAGCATATTTCTTTCTTTTTTTTTTTTGAGTCAAAAGTCTCACTCTGTTGCCCAGGCTGGAGTGCAGTGGCATGCTCATGGCCATCACAGCCTCGACCTGCTGGGCTCAGGTGATCCTTCCACCTCAGCCTTCCAAGTAGCTGGAACTACAGGCACACACCACCATGCCCAGCTAATTTTTCAAAATTTATTGTAGAGTCAAGGTCTCGTCAAGTTGCCCAGGCTGGTCTCAACCCCTAGACTCAGGCAATCCTCTTGTCTCAGCCTCCCAAAGTGCTGGGATTATAGGTGTGAGCCTCTGCACCCAGCATCACATTTTTAATAAATAGAAATGCATTGTCAGGTTGAGCTGATATAAATATGATAATCCTTCAAGACTACTCACATGGACCTTAACCAGTAGGCCCACTAACTTGAACCAATGTACTCCTGGTACACCCCTTTTAACAAGTTTTCCTCAGTTAAGTGTGGAGGCTCACACCTATAATCTCAGCACTTTGGGGGTGGGTGGATTCTTGAGCCAAGGAGTTTTGAGACTAGTCTGGGCAACATAGTAAGACCTCATCTCTACAAAAAAATCAAAAAATTAGCCGGGTATGGTGGTGCGTGCTCATAGTCCCAGCTACTCAGGAAGCTAAGGCAGAAGAATCATCTGAGCCCAGGCAGTTAAGGCTGTGGTGAACCATGATTGTGCCACTACACTCCAGACTCCAACTAAAAACAAACAAAAACCAAAAACCCCACAACATCTTCTCCTCTTTCTTTTTTCCATGGCACTTCTTGCCTTCTAATATAGTATATCGTTTACTTATCCATTATACTCATTTATTGTCTGTCCATGCCTCTTTCTGCCCAGGGATCACCCATAGTATAGAAATAGGCTCTATATAGGAAGGGATCTTTACTTATCACTGATGTTATTTCAATACATAAACCAGTACCTGACAAACAGTAGGGGCCACAAAACTTCTGTAATAAAAATAAATAAATTCACCTTGAGAGTGTACTATTTTCAATACAAATCTGTCCTCCCTGGATACTGGAAGGAAGAAAAGGGCACAAAATGGATGCTTAATTAGTCCCAGGAACCTAAGCAAGTAAATACAAGCCAATACTCTCACTTTACTCAACAAGCATCACTGATTTGCTAACAGCCCTGGATAAAGACAGAGCAATCAGTTAAACAAACAACTCATTAGATTCAGAGAAAAGTGTCCCCAAAAGCACATCTACTAGCCATCTGATCACTAATTGACAGTCTCTTAAGTATGGTGTTGTTTCCTATTCAGTCTCAACCTTGAAAATGTTACACACAGAAGGGCGCACACGCCTCCTCCTTCAGCACCACGGGCTATTTTTGCAGATGGAGACACCTGCAAGCTGAGGAAGAAGACTGGTGGGTGGGATGGAGTACCAGGGTGTAGAATAAACACCTGTATGTTTATGGCAGAACTAATGGAGCATCAGGGAATAACAACAACTCAGCATTGATAACCTGAAGCACATTTATTACCTTATTTGATTCTCAAAAGAATATGGCAGAAAGCTACTCGGCTGTCAGATTGAGTCCCCTCCCACCCTCTGCCTCAATCATATTCTGTGTGCGCTGCTGACATCACTGATTACAACATATTATTTCTCTTTACCCACTTCTTTTTCACAGTAGACGGTGAGTTCCCCATTGTTGCATATTCTCTAAACACTAGCACAGGGCCTGACTCAGAGTGAATATTTATTAAATGCTTATAGAAATAATTAATTTCGCCAGGCTCGGTGGCTCAGCCTGTAATCCCGCGCCTTTGGGAGGCTGAGGTGAGTGGATTGCCTGAGCCCGTGGGTTCGAGACCCGCCTGGGCAGCGAGACCTCATCTCTACAATAAATCAAAAAAATCAGCCGGGAGTGGTAGTGAGCACCTGTAATTCTGGCTACTTGGAAGGTTGAGGCGGAGGGATCGCCGGAGCCCAGCAGGTTGAGGCAGCGGTGGCCGGGAGCGGCCACTGCATTCCAGTCTGGGCGACAGAGTGAGACTCCAACTCAAAAAAAAAAAAAAAGAAATAATTAATTTCTGATGAAGAAACAGGGTGGCCATGGGATTTTGAAATTTAAGTAAGGCTTGAAATGGGAACTAGATTCTAACTCTTTCAACTGTCTATTTATATCAATTCTTCTTTTAAAGAATAAGTGCTTGGAGTTAAAGAGGGTAAACAAGGCAACTGAGTGACTGAGAGCAAGTTCATGATAAAGGAGCAGAAAGGAGAGATATATCTCCAGTACAGCTAAGTCTCTTTGCCAGTATGAGGCAGAACCACCCTATATCATAAAATCCTCCAAATTTCTAACCCTTCTAAAGGTGGCTAATATTGACAAATAAAATCCTTCAGCATCTGCTTGCTGGAAGAATTAACCATCAACTTCAATGGCTGCTACAAAAGTGCCCAGTCTGCTTCCTTTTTGCTCAGTCACAGCTAGAGTGAATGTGCACTTCATCCCAGCATTTCCAAAATTATACAGATTCCAGGGCAGACATCAGAACAGACTGGTATGGAAATATAGCATCTAGCACTAGCCTGGGCTCTAGCACTGGGAGGGAGCAGAGAGACAGAGTAAAAAATACAGACTGTAAGGGTAGTCAGACCAGATTCTAAATGCTGTTCGAGTGACTTTAGACAAATCACTTGATCTCTTTGCATTTCAGTTTTCTCAACAGTGAAATGAGCATAATAATATACTATATTCTGTGGGGTGGTTGTAAGAATTAAAGATAACTCTCTATACAAAGTGGACTGTTTCGGCCAGGCTCGGTGGCTCAGCCTGTAATCCCAGAGTTTTGGGAGGTCGAGGTGAGCAGATTGCCTGAGCCTGCGGGTTCGAGACCTGCCTGGGCAACTTGGCGAGACCTCATCTCTACAATAAGTCAAAAAAATTAGCCGGGCGTGGTAGCGCGCGCCTGTAGTTCCAGCTACTTGGAAGGCTGAGGCAGAAGGATCGCCGGAGACCAGCAGGTCGAGGCTGCAGTGGCAAGGAGTGGCCACTGCACTCCAGTCTGGGTGACAGAGTGAGACTCCAACTCAAAACAACAACAACAAAGTGGACTATTTCAATCTTGACACAATAGCTATAAACCTCAGAGAATGGGAGGGAAGGAAGGTCCTCATCTTTCCTAAATTCCATCAGACCCTTCAAAGAAAAAGTCTCTAGTGGAGCCCTCACTGGGAACAGTGACTGCAGATTTCTCAAGATGAATAGATGGTGGATAAAGAGAACATGATGATAACTTGCACACATATACTTAGCCATTTACTACAGGCTTTCAGACATTTGGTTGCTATATGTAATGCAAATGACTTGCCTAAAGTAATAAAACCAATAAATGATGGAGCTGGGATCCAAAGCTGGGATCTCGGTTCCTCTGGCCACTCTCCCCACTAAGGCTTTTCCTTCTTCCCTTAAATGAGTTTGCCCTTGCTGTTATCCTCCCAGATTTTTTAGAAAAGCAGGGGTCCTACCTATCTGAATACCCTGACACTCCTACTCCCTGGTCCGGAAGGCTCTCCCCATTCCTCTTCACATCTGCTATACAGTCTAATGTGCCAGGTGTAGTCTAATCCATCTCAGACTGAATCCATCTCCTTGCCTCTGGAGAAGACAGCAGGGGAGGAAAGGTGGGAAGGGGATCTCTCACCTGACGTTTCGGCTGATAGCTGCCACCATGAGTGCTGTCCAGCCAAGTTTGTGCCTTGCATTGACATCTGCACCTTCTGACAATAGCCTAAAAAGAGACAGAGGAATATTTTCAGTGTAAGGCTTATTTTGAACATAAGAGTGGAAATAACCACAGAAGAAGTGACACAGTCAACAAATAGGGAGGCTGAACGAGTCTGTAAATAAAAGCCTTTGAGAATGAAATGCCCAATCTCAGTTCCTCTGGCCACTCTCCCCACTAAGGCTTTTCCTTCTTCCCTCAAGTGAGCTTGCCCTTACTTTATCCTCCCAGATTTTTTAGAAAAGCAGGGGACCTACCTATCTGAATACCCTGACACTCCTACTCCCGGTCTAGAAGGCTCTCTCTCCCCTTACCTCTTTGCCTGTTTGAATCTTCCTCTCATGCTATGTGATACAATCCTGGCTGTGGACTCTCCTGAGAAGCCTTCCTTGACTTATCCACTCCACAAATATCAATCTCTCTCCCTTCCTTAACTTCCCAATGCTTAGCAAAGAATGCCTAATGACACATTTAATCTAAGTAGTTCTCAGTTTACAAAATGATCACATTCCTCAATTTTATCTGTATTATGGCTGTTTGGAAACTGAAAATCCTTCAACCTAAGGAAAGATGGAAAGAATGTTAGAAATGCTAGATTAGGGCCGGGCTCAGTGGCTCAGCCTGTAATCCCAGCACTTTGGGATGCTGAAGTAAGTGGATTGCCTGAGCCCGCAGGTACAAGACCAGCCCAGGCAACCTGGCGAGACTTCCTCTCTACAATAAAATAAAAAATTAGCCGGGCTCGGTGGCTCAGCCTGTAATCCCACGCCTTGGGAGGCTGAGGTGAGTGAGGTGCCTGAGCCTGCGGGTTTGAGACCTGCCTGGACAACTTGGCGAGACCTCCTCTCTACAATAAATCAAAAAATTAGCCGGGCGTGGTAGCGCACACCTGTAGTTCCAGCTACTTGGAAGGCTGAGGCAGAAGGATCGCCGGAGCCCAGCAGGTTGAGGTTGTAGTGGCCGGGAGTATGCCACTGCACTCCAGTCTGGGTGACAGAGTGAGACTCCAAATAAAAAAAAAAAAAATTAGCCAGGCGCCGTAGTGCATGCCTGTAGTACCGGCCCCTTGGAAGGGTGAGGTGGATGGATCGCCAGAGCCCAGCAGGTCAACGCTGGGGTGGCCATGAGCATGCCACTACACTCTAGCCTGGGTGATGGAGTGAGATTCCAACTCAAAAAAAGAAAAGAAAAGAAATGCTAGATTCAGGCCCTACTTGAATCCCATACCTAACACACATTAGTGCTCAATAGTTGTTGAATAAACACAGGATTTAAAATACACTATTAAAAGTCTGAATTTTGGGTCCCCAAAACAGGGGGCCCTACCATGTGGGAATGGATAGAAAGAAGGGAGTAAATGGAACTTTTACTGAGCACCTTCTATAAGTAGGCACTGCCATTCATGAGTTTTCACTCCTCATACCACCTAAAGAGCTAATAATCTCCTCTTTTCAGGAATGAGGTTAACAGGCTCAGGGAGGTAAAATGACTTGCTTAAGGCCACACAGCTAGTTAACAGGGACAGCACAGTGACTAGAACCAAGGCTGACAGTGACTCTAAAGCCAGGCTCCTTCTTACCTCATCATCCTTCCTCTACACAGAACCTGGCTCCAGGTAACATGAAAGACAGTCTAATTGGCTGATTCAGCAAGTTAATATAACATGTTCTTGCTCCTGTGCTAGATTTGGGTAGGGTTGAGGAGAAGACATGGAATCCACTCTAGGGAAGCAATTCAAGGAAGGAATCAGAGGAAGGAGGCGGAAGGACAGCATGAAACCAAAGACTACAGTGCCAGGAGAGGGTGAGACCAAAAGATGAGTGAGATTAACCAACTAAACAGAATCTCCTTATGAAGAAAGGGTGGAGGGGGTTTGGGGCATTGGGAGGCTGTCCACTCTTCAGTGGGTTCTAGTCCAACAGGCACTGGGCAGAGTCCAAAAGCTTGGGTTTGAGTCCTAGCACCATTCTTGTACCACAATCCATAGTAATGCTCCCACGAACCAAGCCAAATAAAATCTGTGTGAACTAAGGCTTGGGAGGATGATGAGAAACATCATGTTCTAATATTTCCCTCAACACTGTCAAAGTCCAAGGGGGAGAGAGATCACTCCAAGCACAGAACTACACCTCTCATAAGTACTATGAATGGGACTATGGGTTGTAGGTGCACAATGAGGGAGCCTAACTCAGTCTCAGTGACCAGAAAGACCTCTCTGGGATGTGTGGATAAAGGGGAGTTAGTCAGACAAAGGAGGTGGGGGAGGGAGGGAAGAGTGTTACAGGCAGAAGTAAGCCTCTTCTGTTAGAGAAGAAGGCATGGAAAAGATAAGGCCCAGCAAGTGGTTTGGTATGACTGGGGCACAGAATGTGAAGGAAGAGTGCTAAAAGAAGCTGAGAAACTCTTTTCTCACCTCTAATTTGGAGGATTTCTACTGCTGAAAGTCTGGGGCCACTTACCACACACAGTGTTAAACTCCTTCCGTGTGGAAACAATTTTCTATGGCCAAGAATGTCAAAGGGGCTAAGAACCCTTCTTAATCTCCACTGTCACCACTGCCGCACCGCCGCCTCCTCCGCCTCCTCCTCCTCCTCCTCCTCCTCCTCTTCCTCCTCCTCGTTGTCATTTAGCAGGTCATGTGATATAGGGGACAACACATTGTTCTGAAAGTTTAAGAGTCTGAAGTTCTGGTCCTGTCATTCTGACTGGATGGTCTTACTTCTCTGGTCCTCAGCCCAGAAAGGCTAGAAAATCAGGACAGACTGAAGAAAATCAAAGAGGCTTCTGAGGGAACAGACTTCATCTGTGTCTTGAAGAACAGGAAGAGTTTAAAGAAGTGGGAGGAAATGCACCCCAGCTGAGGTGAAAGAAAGAGGATATGACTGCAAAGCAGGAAAGGAACTTTCAGAAACCATCAGGCAGATCCATCTGGGTGACAGTTCACAGCAGAGAACCAGACAGCTGCTGGGATGTGCAAGTCCTACACAGGACCCAAATGCTAGACTAGGCCAAAGCAGTGGGCACAAATCTTTTCTGAACTGTGGATTCTCGAGAATATAGTCAAATTTCTCTCCAGAGAAGTGCACAGGAGCGCGCACACACACACTCACACTCAAAAAAGTTCTAATGGACCCCAGGATAAAAACTCAGTCTAGAGGGTTGACAGATGCCTGGCATGCATGCTACTGCCCTGTACTCCCACATCTAAGACATATAACACAAATCTCTCTCAGCAGTTTTCTTGTGGTGCCTTTGAAAAAGCTTCAGAAACCTCCTCAACACAGGTTCCATCTGTCACCCCCAATCCACAGAAGCTGGCAACTGAGAGACAACCTACTTGCTATTCCTTAGCCTCTCACCAAAGGCAGTAGGAATGTCATTCAAGGTTTTTGGACAAAAGGAATTATAAAATTAACCTAACCATCTGAGTTTGAAAGGGGGAGAATACAAATGGGGATATAAGAAGGCTGCTGTAGTAAAGACTCAGGGAGAGGAACTTGGGCAGGGAAATGAGAAAGCAGGGAATAGCCAGGAGAAACTCAGTGTGACTAAAACCCCCATGCCTCTCCAGGGATCAATGACAGGTGTTCCCCTGCCTGGGCACTGAGAATTCTGGAAGCAGCACTGTTCTAGAGGAAGGGCTGAAGAAAGAAGATTGACATGCCTCCTCTTCCTGCTCCTTGAGGACTAAGTGTTTAATAAAAAGAAAAGGATAGCTGGGCTTGGTGGCTCAGCCTGTAATCCCGCGCTTTGGAAGGCTGAGGTGAGTGGATTGCCTGAGCCTGCAGGTTCGAGATCCGCCTGGGCAACTTGGCGAGACCTCATCTCTACAATAAATAAAAAAATTAGCCAGGCATGGTAGTGCGTGCCTGTAATTCCGGCTACTTGGAAGGCTGAGGTGAGTGGATTGCCTGAGCCTGCGGGTTCGAGATCCGCCTGGGCAACTTGGCGAGACCTCATCTCTACAATAAATAAAAAAATTAGCCAGGCATGGTAGTGCGTGCCTGTAATTCCGGCTACTTGGAAGGCTGAGGCGGAAGGATCACCGGATCCCAGCAGGTGGAGGCTGCAGTGGCCGGGACGGGAGCGGCCACTGCACTCCAGTCTGGGTGACAGAGTGAGACTCCAACTCAAAAAAAAAAAAAAAAAGAAAAAAGAAAAGGATGCCGTGCGCGGTGGCTCACGCCTGTAAATCCAGCACTTTGGAATACAGGGATGACAGGAATGCCTGAGCCCAGGAGTTGTGAGACCAGCCTGGGCAACTTGGTGAGACCGCATCTCTACAATAAATAAAAAAATTAGTTGGGCATGGTGGCTCATGCCTGTAGTTCCAGCTACTTGGAAGGCTGAAGTAGAAGGATCACCTGAGTCGGGCTCGGTGGCTTAGCCTGTAATCCCGTGCCTTTGGGAGGCTGAGGTGAGTGTATTGCCTGAGCCCGCGGGTT